AGGAATCATGTTTTTGTGAAAACTGGTCTGGGACAACTATGGTCTACATTGCTGAAAAAGATAACACGATTTGTACAAGGGAAGATTATTGTTGTCACGAGCCACGGTGTATAAAGGCAACTGTGGGGACATCTGGGCATTCATTCATCCACAATGAAGGCAGCTTTTCTGATTCTCCTCGTCTCTGTCATGCTCATTGGGTCAGCATTTGTCGGTGAGTAAATACTTGTTTCTTTGTTTGACTCTACTCACACACCGTTGTGCTTCTGGAACGCTAGTAATTATTTTGTAACATGCATAGAGAGTCATCAAAGAACTGTTAAAATATCGCAATTTTCTGATGTCTTTGTGGAGAACGCATGACTTTTGATATTACCTGTGAGAGCACTTCTTAAACGGTGTTGACCAGAGTGAGCGAGTGAATATGGCCTTACGCCGCTTTTAGCAATATCCCAGTAATATCACGGTGGGAAACCAAGTCAGCGAGCCTGACCACCCGATCCGTTAGTCGCCTTTTACGACAAGCATGGGTTGCTGAAGACCTATTCTTACTTGAAGTTTCACGGGGCACCTCCCGTAGGTATTGTGGTGACTGCTTCAGAATTGTCATACTAAATTGTTTTGATTCGTTGACGATTTAGAATAAGGGATCCACTGCTTTGACTTTACTCGTTAGAACACGACTGTCGTCTTCAACGTTGTTGACCATGTAACCACACCGGTAAACATTTAACAGTCATCTTCTGTAATGTGATGTGTGGGACAGACATCGCTTTAACATATGAGTGAGTGAGTTTGAATGTTACGCCGCTTTTAGCAATATTTCAGCAATATCCAGAAATGGGCTTCACACATTGTACCCATGTAGGAATCAAACCCGGGCCTTCAGCGTGACGAGCGAACGCTTTAACCACTAGGCTACCCCGCCGCCCCAACATATGACCTCTTTAGTCATAGTGGTGATTGTGTCATGAAACATCCCATCGGTGTAGTGGAATGAATCATTCAGTGTTATCAGATGGACAATAATAATGTTAACAGATTTGGAGAAAAGAAGGACAAAATGACTACGATACAAGAATCTGTATCGCAACGTTGCACTCACGAAATATAGAAGTTGTTATCCATAAAGTTTGTCTATATTGTACTAAACGTTTTGGTCATAGATATTTTTATCAAACGCTTTGAATAGATTGCATGGAGATATCTTGCTCCAAGATATGCTGTTTTCAAACTGATTAAAATAACCCGTCTGGCAGGATGTTAACAGATTAAGAAATTAGGAGACCATTCAACTATTTGTTGGGGCGGTGGAGCAGAAAAAGCGGTTAAAGCGTCCGCTCGTCACGCCGGAGGGCCGGGTTCGATTCCCCATATGGGTGCAGTATGGGAAGCCCATTTCTGGTGTTCCCCCACTGTGATATTGCTGGAATATTGCTAAGAACGGCGTAAAATCCAACTCACTCACTCAACTATTTGTACTATAATTCTTACATTTGTGACTTCACCTTCGTTTCTTTCCGTGTGATTTTCTATACATTTATGTTTCTGCATTGAAGCTGATGCCCAGTGTAACGGCATTTGCCACAGCGACCACGAATGCAGCCACTGCCACGACCATTGTCACAATGGGCATCATTGTGTCCGGCACCCAGATGACGTTGTTGGAACCTGTTCATGTCACAATTGGTAAGTAGATTAAATGAAGTGGTTCAGTTATAGGGCAACCAGGGTTTAGGCATTATGCCACACAGAGTTTAGGTACTGTACCACTCTGCTGATACCCACGACCTTCACTGTGGTACTGAAAGACCTGTCCGTTTATGTATCAATATATTAACTATAAGTACATCTCTTGAGGCATTTTGTTTTCATTTGGCGGAGAAAGAAAATACGTCAGTCGTCATTGGAATGCATTCGAAACAGAAAATGGAAGGTAGTCCATACACTTAAATCACTAACATATCCCCGTCCAACTGTTCTTAGATAACAGTTACCGTAATATTACAATTTGCATTTTATGGTTTTGTTTCAGATGTTTTATCCCAGAAAGAGGTGCCGAAAATATCAACACCTTGTACTGAGAGTTAATAAATGATATAAATGAGAATTGCCTCCTGTTATATTTGAGAGGCATTGTGGGCTGCTGTGTGACAGTGTGTTACAATGAGCGTGGTTTTCAACTATATATTTTTAACAGAGAGACATATTTTATTTCAGTATAAGGCCGCTGGCCAAATATATATATACATTTATACACATGAAATAGGTAGACAGTATGCCTTAATTCTGATTTTTTGTAATAAGGCGTGTGACTTTAAAAGAAAATAACACAAATTCTTTAAAGTAGTTTTTCCAGTTGATTGTAGCAGAGCTTTTAGTATGTACACAGCTGGATTTTGAAAATAGAGTAGTTTTATATATGTCTTCCTCAGTTCGCTGTATGATGGGCTCATTAACAGCACTATTCCTAGCTGTGATACATGTGGTGACACCATGACTGTACTGGTCCTGTAGTTTGGTTTCGTCTGGTCGTCACACCAATGAACATTTGATTTGTGAAGACAATGCCACCATACCAAATTACATTTCTACCTTCACCACGTCAGATTCACACCAATGACACTTGAATTGAGAAGGACATTCCACCATACCAAATTGCATTTCTACCTGCACCACGTCAGATTCAAACCAATGAACACTTGATTTGAGAAGAAACTTCCACCAAACCAACTTGCCTTTCTACCTTCACCACGTCAGATTCGCACCAATGACACTTGAATTGAGAAGGACATTCCACCATACCAAATTGCATTTCTACCTTCACCACGTCAGATTCACACCAATGAACACTTGATTTGAGAAGAAACTGCCACCAAACCAACTTGCCTTTCTACCTTCACCACGTCAGATTCGCACCAATGACACTTGAATTGAGGACATTCCACCATACCAAATTGCATTTCTACCTTCACCACGTCAGATTCACACCAATGAACATTTGATTTGTGAAGAAAAGGCCACCACACCATATTGCATTTCTACCTGCAATATCTCGTTCTCTTGTATGTTGACGTAATCGATATTTCTTCGTTCAGTAGTAATTTCACATTATGCGTTGTTCCATGAAATATATGTTTTCACTATGATCCTACAAATCATATTTTGATAAAAAAAATAATTTTTACACTTCCACAATAACAACACTTAAGTATTGTCTCATCCTTGTCAAATCCTTCTACTAGAGAATGTGTTTACGCTCAATCTAAACACATATATTCATAAAGAATCCAATACTTCATTTCCACGAGATACGTGCTTGTATCCTTTTACATGGGAGACTGTTCTGTGGGCGCTGGGGTAGAGTAACTGTCTGTGGGCGCTGGGGTAGAGTAGTTGTTTAATTGTTCGCTCGTCACGCCGAAGACTATAAAATGCGTGAAGCCCATTTCAGGTCTCCACCACCGTGATATTGCTAAAAACGCCGTCAAACCCAACTCACTCAGTCCGACTGTTTTGGTATAACCAGGAGTTGTGTTGCATCCATGTACACACAGCGACACACATCCATGGCATGCTAAGACGTGACACATAGTGTCAGCAGTTCGTCTATATAAAATAACAACAAACCACTGAAGCCTTTGGAGCAATAACATGTATAAAAACAAAGAAGTAACATGTCTCATGGTCAAGCTTGTATGAATCTAAAAATCACATTTAGCTAATAGTATTACCTACATGCACAAACATTATGAAAGCAAAAGATCATAAACACAGACATGGATTTGCTATACCACTCTATAACTGACAAACAAATTTGATTTTATCGATTACCGAGTAAACTAACTTAATATCGATTTCTAAAAATGCCTCTCAAAGAAGTAACTGAACATACAACTGGATCTCTCTGGAAATATCTCTGGTGACTGAATCGATATTTCCGTGAACTGTATTGTTTCGCATTGTCCGTTGTTCCAGGAAAAATGTCGAATTGGTTTTCTTCTGTGATGATTACTTTGCGAGAGCCGTCGTGTTTTTACTCTACATTACACAGAAACAATTTTTTGTGGGTCCGGCATATATATATATTTATTTATATGTATACTTAAAATCATAGCTTTAGATATTACTTACACGTACACACGTTATGAAAGCAACGATCACAAACATAAACATACATTTGCTTTACAATCACTTCAAATTAACAAACATATTCTATTGTATCGACTACTTAACTAATTGAACAGCAACAGTCTGGAGAGCTACGTGAATATGGCAGAGCTATATTTGGAAGTATTTGTGGTATTCCCTCGTGAATACACATGACAAAGGTTAGTGAGCTTAAATAGGGCTATGAAAACATATAGCAACATGTTCAAGGCTGATCAAACACGTCTAGTATCCAGGGACACCAACCAGGATATAGACGAAGCTGAAGGAGATTACAAATTTCAACAGTGTGACCTGCACTGAATATATACATGAGCTTGGGTATACTGTTCCCACAAAGGACATTTTTACGGCGATCAATCAGATTGTGACACAGCGGGCGCAACTATAGATCCTCAACATTAGCCCATTCATACTTGTTTCTGCGTTCCTCATGTCTGATGTCAAACAACAAGAGAGCGAGCGGGCGAAAAAATATTTTAGTTGTGTAACATGCTGTTTGAAATCTAAAAAGTTCCATCGCTTGATAATAGTGATGCAGATCGAATCCCTTTGCTTCAGCAAATGTAGGTGAAGAAACATCAAGCTGACCTGTTTGATTTGTACGTGTTAGCCAGAGTGAAAGTATCTTTTTTTATCACACCAGGGTACACCCTTTGAGGGAAAAAGAGGTCCAAAACCATTTTGATTATTTAACTTTGAATGAAAATTCAGGACGCGCGAGAGACGGAAAAATACAAAAATACAGATAGCGTTACCCATACCCCAAAGCCAACAGACCTTTCCAAAATTTCAGCAACAACAAGTGGTTGGTTTAAGATGGTCTGTACAAACATAATATTGCCCACAAGAAACGTCGACGATCCTTCTTGTTTCAGGGATAAATATTAATATCAACATTTACCCTACCTACCTTTTCGAAACTTAAGGATCAAAGTTAAAATATCTAGCTGGATATATCTTTATTGTTGGGTTTGGGAGTCGATTAGTGGCTACAGCAACAACAGCAACAACACACTATAATAAGTATTAGGGCAACCACGCCGACGGCTATTCCGATGTATAGTCCGAGGTAGCTTCCATCGGATGTGTCTGTTGCTGCAACAGTTGATGCTTCTGAAAAAGATAGTCTGGTTGAAAAAAATATCAAAGTAATCAATTCAGCACAAACGAGTCATCAGTGAGTGTAACATTTGGTCTTTTGTGGTCATTGATTAATGTAGTGGGTGGGCTGTGAGACCACCCAGCACTATCAGGAAGCCGTACACCAGAATCTCATAGTGTACCCATAGCTGCACATGTATGGCGTGTGGCGTGTGGACCTGTGGACAGAGCTCAGGTAACGAATTAGTTAAGTTAGGCAACGTCGAGCTCGGAAAGTCCTTGGATGGGTGACCATGTTTGGCAGCTTGACTCCTGAGAGTTTCTAGGACTTCAGTCCTGTCCCACAACGAAGCAAGTGAGTTTTTCCAAATTGCCTCTGTTCACCCAGCAGAAAATGGGTACCCGGTTGGATAAAGTCATATGACTATAACCGGGGTAATAAGAATCACATTCTGATTAAGCGCCCCGAGCAATCACTTGGTGTTTGGAGACTGTGCGCTATAGAAGATGACTTATTATTTTTATGAATATATAATACTATGTGTTGCAATTTGTTTTAGATGTCAGTTACACAAGTAAAAATGATAATGACAATATTTACTTGATGATTTCACTTCTTCCGAGCACATGTGTTATTAGTCTTTCTTTAATGATATCTTACCATCGCATGTTCCTTTATTTGATCCACTCAGTGCCTGTTTCCAGTAGAACTGGTCTTTGTGGAGAAAGAGTACCAAGTTCAGCCTCCTGTTAATCTCATCATAAACACTTGTTTGTTCAGCGCGGACGTTCAAGTATTTTCCAGTATCTACTTCTTTGAAGCTGTATGTTGTGTCAGAGTCTGCTTCAGCTGTAGCTGTTATCAGAATTGTTACCGCATCGTGTTTGGAGGGTTTACAAATCAGGAACTCTTTCCTGTCTATCTTATCATTGTCTGTCCACAAAGTTGGAAACACTTTCTCATAGTTCAGAAATGGTCTATCGAAACTCAAATAGCATCCACTCTTCTGTCTCAGGTAAAAGCCAGATCTTCTATCGGGCGATGCATCCTCCCAAGAGAATACCTCACTAGAATCTCCCTTTGGACATCGCAGTCCTGCATCTTGCGGTTTGTCGATTTTGTCCCAATCAAAAGTACCATCGATCACAATAGAATACTTCTGATTGGTAAACAAAACTGTGCCGGTTTTAGGATGGACGATGTTTATGTTCTGCAGCTGGGAGAAAAACTGAGGCGTGCAACTCTGAAATCTTTCGTCTTGATCTCGTAAGTGATCCTCCAATTTTGTCCTCACTACAGAACAGGTTGGGTTGTTTGAAGTACAGGTTAGGTTGTACAGCTGATAGGAGTTAACCTGGAGTTTTATCAGTTCGTCCTTGTAATTGCTGATATCGTCCAGGCTTCGTGTAAGATTGTAGTTTTGTGTTGTGGCTGATTGAAGTTCCCTGAGAACGTGTCTAACAAAATCACATGCTAGGCCAGAGTTTCGCCCTGCAGATACTACGCTCAACCCCTTGATTACCAAATGAAGTTGTGTTAACAAGCTTGGTATTCTCCTCAGATCGAGTTTCAGGGTTTCTTTTTCGTTCTCCAGGGTTTGGGTACAGCTGTTGGTTGTATTTGCCTGCACGCACGCTTTAGAAGACTTAATGAATGTGTCAAACTGTTCAAAAATAACAAGTAGACTTCGTTCAACCCTTTCTGCATCCTGTATAGTTGACAGTTCCTTGAGTTCGTTTAGTTTTTTTAGGAAATTTTCATGTGTTTCCTGAAATGAATGAGAAATTAACTTCTTTTTAATTTAATCCATAAAAATATCTTGGACATTAATGTACAACTTCTAAATCCCACTGAAAGACATCGAGAAATTAATCATTTGGAAAAGCGAAACCAAATTTTCACTATGGCTGATAACAAAGAGTAAGTTAACACCGGTACCGCTATTAGCAACATTCCCACAATGTCATGGAGGAGGAGACAAAAAACGGGCTTTACGCATTAAATATTGTACAGCTTTAGAGAATAGAAATCTCGTCTTCAGCGTGACGAGCAATTGCTGTAACCTCTAGGCTACCTCAAAGCCCCTCTATGCAAACAACACAATGTACGTTTCAATTGTAATTGGCAGAAAGGAAATGTGTGTTGAAGGGATAATATGTTACATACTTGCATCGAATTGAGAATCTGCAAAATGGTTTCCAGTTTCTCAGTAGTCCTGGCTTGTTCGGCGTGATCTATCAGAGTATCGATACCAAAGGACATCAATTTCTTGACGGAAAATTTGGCGATGAACGTTACAATTGGGGCGAATCGTTTTCTCCTCAAAGTCCGGCATTCTCCATCCCCAGCTGAAACATGAACGTATATATAATGAGGCTGCCTTCTGATTAGAGGGGCGATGGTTAAGCCCAGTGGTTAAAGCGTTCGCTCGCCATACCGAAGACCTGGGTTCGATTCCCCTCATGGGTACAAGGTGTGAAGCCCATTTCGATTTTCGATTTTTCGAGAAATCTTGTTTTCGCCCACCCATGAAGATTCGGGTTAGAATATTATCTTCAGTAGCCCATGCTTGTCGTAAGAGGCGACTAACGGGATCGGGTGGTCAGGCTCGCTGACTTGGTTGACACATGTCATCGGTTCCCAACTGCGCAGATCGATGCTCATATTTTTTTTATCACTGGATTGTCTGGTCCAGACTTGATTATTTACAGACCACCGCCATATAGCTGGAATATTGCTGAGGGCGGCGTAAAAACTCAACTCACTCACTCACTTGTTATCGCCCATGAACTTTCAAGGATCGTTGACATTATCATTTGTTAAAACCTATGTTGACTTGTGAATACACATAAAGGAAATAGCAGTGCATATGTCCTATCTTAAAACATATGCTCATTGTTTACTCTCAAAAAAAAGAAATGCATATAGGAATTTCAATTGTATTATTATGTTTATTTTGAAACATCTTGTAGGCTTTATGAGTCAATGAAATATAGCGACATTGCACACTGGGAATGCAGACTTATCCGTCTTTGGCACCAACTCGAGGAAAGTCAGTTTGAGTGTCACATGGAGACGTGTGGTGGCGCTGAAGTCAATACCTCGTGTGACCACCGTGGACACCCAGAACTGCACGGCATCGCCTCGGCATCGAACGAATAAGTCTCAGAATCTCGTGTTGCCCAATCGCAGCCCACTCTGCCTGTAGTGCCTGTGCGAGTTGCTGAAGTGTCTGGGGCTGAGGGTTACGGCGTCGCACCCGTCTGTCCAGGGCATCCCACAGCTGTTCGATCGGGTTTAAGTCCGGTGATCTTGAGGGCCAGGGCAGCACATTGATGTTGTGGTTCTGGGGGAAGTCTCTAGTGTGACGTGCTGTGTGGGGCCTGGCATTGTCCTATTGAAAGAACTCCCTCTGGCGATCAATGATTGGAAGGAGGTGTGGGCGTAGGATTTCGTCACAGTACCGTTGAGCTGTCAGGTTGCCCTGGATTATCACCAAATCACTTCTCCTACGGCAGGTGATCTCTCCCCACATCATAACACTGTCCCGGCCGAGTCTGTCCACCTGGGGGAACGCAAGCGTCGGCGAAACGTTCACGTCAACGTCTGTACACCAGCATTCTTCCATCGCGTCGTTCCAATAGAAATCGTGATTCATCACTGAACCAGATTCTACGCCAATTCGGTAGATTCCAGGCCTGAACGTTGGTGCACCATTGAACTCGATGTCGACGATGTTGTTGTCGAAGTACAGGGCCAAAATAAGGTCTTCTGGCACGTAAACCAGCCTCTCAACCTGTTCCTGACGGTCTGTGCAGAAAGCCTCAATCCGGGTATTTGTCGAGCGGTACTGGTCGCCGTAGCTGTTTGATGACGCAGGTGATATACCCGGAATTAAGCGATCCTGCGCCGCAGTGGTCGCTCGAGGTCGCCCACTACGAGGGGCATCTGCTACCGCATTCTGCCGGCGATATCTCTCCCAGAGCCGTGAAATGGTGCTTTGGTGAACATTCATGCGTCGGGCAACTGTACGTTGAGACTGGCCAGCTTCAAGCAAACCAATGGCGATATGACGGTTGGCTTCACTTAGACGTAGCATTTTGCGTTCGTCAACACTATTCCAAATACAGAGAATAATCGACAGACAGCGATCAACCTTTTATACCCATCATTGAGACTATCTGATCCCCAACTTTCACGTGCATTGCATGTGAATTGTGTATTCTGTGACACTACACGCCGAAATTGAAAATCCTCATTTAGCGTTAAAATAGACAAATGTTTATCACATGCTACCTTGAACGAGTACATTCCTGAATACCAGTCAAGTCGCTTGAAAAGGCTTAGAGGGAAACACGGGTGGATAGTGCGCGCGTTGGTTGATAGGGTGTGGTTTTGGTAGATGCATCCACGGAGAGCGGTAATGGGTGGATAGTGGGCGTTGGTGGATAGGGTACGAGAGAGAGGACATATGTGATAGTGAGGGGGTGTAGGTAAGATGGGGGTACGAGGAGGGACATGAAGAGGATAGTGAGGTGTAGGTAGATGGGGTAAGAGGTGACGGACGACACCGGAGGATAGTGAGGGGTGTTGTTGGATAAAAGAGTGAGCGGACATTGTACGGATAGTGAGGGGTGTAGGTGGATGCGTAGGGAGTTTACATATGTATAGCGACACGTGTAGATAGACGAGGGTACGAGGAGGGACATGGAGGGTGTGGAGGATGGAATAGAGGACATGGAAGAAGGCATGGACGGAATAGTGGACACAGGAGTGGAATGGAGTGGACGGACAGGAAGGATTGAGTGAATGGAGGTGGTGGAGATGGAATGGACGAATAGGAATGGACATGGAGTGGCGATGGACAGGCATGACATGGAGGTGGATGGAACAGGTGGTGGATGAAAGGGAATAGGCATGGACATGGAAAGATGGAATGAGGTGGAATAGGAATAGGCATGGACATGTGAAGGACATGGAGTGTGGGTAGATGGAATAGAGGACGGACACGGAATGGGACAAGTGAGGCAATGGATGTGAGATGGAATGAGTGACCGGACATGGATGGACATGGAGTGGACGGAAGGAAGACGTGGATGGAATGGAACAGTGGACATGGAGAGATGGGAATGGAGGAGGACATGGACACCGACGAGAGGAATAGGACATGGAATGGAATGGACATGGAATGGAATGGCAGGACATGGAGGATGGAATGGTGGACATGGAGGAATGAGAAGGAAAGAGGAAGGACATGGACAGTGGGATGGAATGGAGTGGACATGGAGGACGGATGGACGAGACATGGTGACATGGAATGGACATGGAACGAGGACGCGGACATGGAGGACATGGACATGGAGGAATGGACATGGAGTGGTGGACATGGAATGGACACGAGGGAGATGGAATGGACATGGAGGATGGATATGGATGGATGGAATGGACATGGTGGGAATGGAGTGGAGGAATGGACAGGAAGGAAGGATGGACAAGGGTGGACATGGAGTGGATGGACATGGAATGGAAGATGGAATGGAGTGGACATGGACCTAGAGGGGGTGGAGATGGAATGGACGGAGATGGAATGGACATGGATGGACATGGATGAAGGATGGACATGGAATGGAATGGACATGGATGGAATGGAAATGAACATGGATGGGAATGGATGGACATGGAGGTGGAGATGAAAATGGACATGGAATGGATGGATGGAAGGATGGACATGGAGGAAGGATGGAATGGAGGACATGGATGGAGGAATGGAGGAGTGGATGGACATGGAATGGACACAGTGGACATGGAGATGGATGGAAAATGGTGGAATGGACATGGAATGGATGGACATGGAGGATGTGACATGGAATGGACATGGACATGGATGGACAGGAGGATGGATGGAATGAAATGGAGGACATGGATGGATGGAATGGACATGGTGGAGGACAAGAATGGATGGAATGGAGGAAGGAAGAGTGGATGGATGGAGATGAATGGACAATGGACATGGATTGATGGACATGGTGGATGGAGATGGATGGAAGGACATGGAGGAAGGAGGAATGGAAGGATGGTGGAATGGATGGTGGATGGAATGGAATGGTGGTGGATGGACATGGAGATGGACATGGAATGGACATGGATGAGGAATGGACATGGAATGGGTGGAATGGACATGGAATGGATGGAGGATGGAGGGTGGACATGGAATGGATGGACATGGAATGGACGAAATGGACATGGATGAATGGAGATGGAATGGATGGACATGGACATGGAGGGGTGGATGGATGGATGGATGTGGAGTGGAATGGACATGGAGGGAATGGAATGGAGGAATGGACATGGAGTGGATGGAATGGATGGGGAAGTGGATGGAGGAATGGAATGGAATGGATGGAGTGGATGGAATGGAATGGATGGAAGGTGATGGATGGAGAGGAATGGAAAGTGACATGGGTGGATAGTGAGGTGTGTAAGGTACAGAGTGCCCGGAAATGTAGGATAGTGAGGGTGTGTTGGTGGATGGGGTACATGGAGTGAGGGATATGTGTGGATGTGATCGATGTAGGTAGATGATAGGACACGAATAGTGATGGGGGGCATGGGAGGATAGTGAGGGGGTGTTGGTGGATGGGGTGCAAGTGAGGGGACATGGGTGGATAGTGAGGGGTGTTGGTAGATGGGGTACGAGTGAGGGGACAAGGGAGGATAGTGAGATGTGTTGGTGGATGAGGTACGAGTGAGGGGACATGGGTTGATGGTGAGGAATGTAGGTAGATGGGGTACGAGTGACGGGACATAGGAGGATAGTGAGGGGTGGTGATGGGTAGGGTACGAGTGCCCGGACATGGGAATATAGTGAGTGGTGTTGATGGGTAGGGTACGTGTGAGGGGACATGGGTGGATAGTGAGTTGTGTTTGTGGATGGGGTACGAGTGACCTGACATGGGATGATAGTGAGGGGTGTAGGTAGGTGGGGTACGAGTGAGGGGACATAGGAGGATAGTGAGGGGATATGTGTGGATTGTGAGTGATGTAGGTAGATGTGGTACGAGTGACGGGACATAGAAGGATAGTGAGGGGTGTAGGTACTTAGGGTACGAGTGACGGGACATAGGAGGATAGTGAGGGGTGTTGATGGGTAGGGTACGAGTGAGGGGACATGGGTGGATAGTGAGTGGTGTTGTTGGATGGGGTACGAGTGACGGCACATGGGAGGATAGTGAGGGTTGTAGGTAGATGGGGTACGAGTGAGGGGACATGAGTGGATTGTAAGGGGTGTAGGTAGATGGGGTACGAGTGACTGGACATGAGTGGATAGTAAGGGGTGTATGTAGA